CTTTTAGATATTATGGACCCAAGGCATGCTGCCATAGGATGGCAGAAGAGACACTTGTTGTAGGATTTGATGCTTATCATAACCAACGACACTAACCTATGGTATGAGTGTCTACGATCGTCGATAGTATAGTAACCCAACAAAAGGTTGGGGTCGTGTCCCAAGGGAGTGGTTTGGAGAATTTATAGAAAAATACTAGTCGTAGCTAAAGACATTAATGATTAAAAAAATAGTAAATTAAAGTGGGCGACAAAAAAGTTTCAAATATCGATTTGGGGGTTTTGTCACAATTAGTAAAAACAACAAAATTAAAAAGAAAATCAAGTATGGGCAAGAATTCTTAGGGTGTGACCACAATACAAGTTGATATAAGTAGTTGGGTACATGCTTTTGAAAGGAAATTTGTATGATAATAGTGACTAGGCTAAGCTTTAAATGGAAATAAGTTCCCTCTCGGGCAACTTACCCCGTTTCAAATGCATTCCTCTCGGACACCCATTAGCCGCATGAAGACCAGCCTACGCCTTACCCAACTCACTCTCTCGAGCTAAGTGTTAGGATATGGGACTAGGGCTCACCCTCTCGAGCTGAACCTAATGTCGACCCACTCCTTAGGCCATCAGTCTATTGGTCTTGGTTTCGCGACCTCCCTCTCGGGCAAGCCGAAAACACATGGGTGGCTTTGTATTTGCAACTACAAACCCTTTAGGTTAAATCACAACCACTAGGTGAAATCACCATTAAATTACATCTAACCTATCAGCAAGCAAGACCCAACAATAATATAAACACATATTTGCTAAATCACACCCCAAGAATGGGGGTTTCTAGCCACACATCAAGAAATAACAAAATACACCTAAAATGATAGTAAAATCAAATGGGTATAAGAAATTAACCTTGATTTGAGCAAAAGAAGAAGAATGGAGAAGACCCACTTCCAACTTGGAGAAGATGAAATCCTTCTGTCTTCAAGTCTCCCAAAAAACCCTCTCTAAACTTGAGAGAAAATATCCAAAAAAGTACTATTCTATTATGAAAATAATAAGAATTGTTCGGAACTTATAAAATTAATAACGAGTTTAGTAATTATAGACTTCAGAAAATAGCGCTGGCGGATCTTTTGGTAAAGTTAGTCGATGTCGCCGAATAACTCAGTGACTTGCCTGTCTTCTGTTTCATTGCCATTTCATGCTTGCCTTCAACATCTTCACGTTCTGGACCATTGGGCGCTATAGTACTGCTTCATGGATCTATTCGGTGAAGCGTCGACTGCTCCTTTCATCTTCTTTTTTATCCTCTTCCTTTAGGGCTTCGCATACTGGAATAAAGGGCGGAGTCTATCCTTTCGGCGAATCGCCAAAGGTTCTTGCCGATGCTCATGCTTCAGCTTCTTCATCCTTTTCAGTATTTTGTTCCTTTTTGCACCTAAGTGTCCATGCTTCCACTAAAATTTCAAATACCTGAAACTTAAGAGTTTTCATCAGATATTGGGACCAAATAAGCATTCGAGGACACTATTTCTATCAAAATAAATCCCTAAATGAGTCCAATTTGTGGAGTCATCAACACCCCCAACTTAAATTTTTGCTTGTCCTCAAGCAAACTCAAGTTCAGCCGTTCAAAAAGGGTGTCTCAAATAGTGCTACAAAAGATTCAATCATGAGTGCACACAACAAGACTCAATTTACTTATGCAAGCATCAATTGTGTACTCAAAGATTCAAGTTGTGACACAACATTACCAAAAATTCTCATGCTCGCAATACTTGCTACTTGTGCAAGTTCAAGCTCAACAAAAAGTATCTAATGGCCTCACATGAAAAATGATTCCATATTCACACAGAGGTTAATCAATTCAAGATCAGGAATCTGATGCAATGCTCACACTCAAAAAGAGGAACAGAATGCATGTTTTCACCCATAGGTTTGCCCTTATTTTCCAATCAACTTTCGATTTGGTTTACTCAGTATCAAAAAGGTCTTTCTAAGGCTTGTAATGGGGTTGAGTGTAAAGGTATGGTCATTTAGGCTCCGTGACTTTTTTCCTCGTGAGTTGTGGCCTTCTCAAGGCATTCCCTTCTTTTCCTTTATCAATTCTTTTTCTCGTGCTTCTAAGTCACCTTTTTTTATTCTCCTCTATGGACTGCTTGAAACTCGATTCCTTTCGTACTTTATTCCAAAATTCATTAATTTTTTTTTAAGGGGTTTCATTTTATGCAATATCATGGGTCAAGGGGGAGTTTTCCTGCACTTCTTGACTTTTCCGTTTCCCTTTCACCATACCCCCAACTTAGGCTTTTGGCCTAAGTAGGCTATTCACTAAACCACAAATTAAGAGGATTATAGGTAGCAGGTCAAGTAAGGTCTAGGGTTCATCAAAGTTCTTCCAAATAAAGGTAAGGCTCAAAGGGTGTTCAAAAGAGTTTCACACGCTCACGGGTAGGTCACAAAAGAGGTATATGTGAAATTTGGCTCACACTCTTTAAAGTTGCCTAACATCATCTCAAGAGGACACCTTTCTAAATCAATCAAACTAACATGGTAAATTCTAGGTTTGTTCATGCAAGTGTCAAAGCAAGCTAATCACACAACGCATCGACACTTAAGTCAAACAAGACTACACACTTTCGCTAGTGTGCAACGGTCATTACAAGAGAACCAATTCAATAAATGGCTAATCATAACAAGATGCAACGAGTTCACATATTTTCTATGCAACTTCATTTGGCCTCATCATAGCCATACATTCATGTTCGTTCAATTGAGAGCACTATTCAAGTCATCGGTATTGATCGAAATTGAGACTCATTTTTTGCGAAAGAACAGTCACATTAAACTCACGAAGGGTGGCAAAAATGTGCAAAAACTTTTTTAAAAAATCTGAGGGGTAAAAATCATTTTGCAATTACAAATAAACGGAAATGGAAATGGAGCCACAAGCTCAAACAATCGCAAAGCAGTTTTAAAAACACAGCTAAAATGGATAACCGAAATGTACGCCAAAACAAGGTGGGCCTCACCCCACCAACAGTAAAAGTGTTTGTCCTCAATGTAAATAATACAGAATCCAAAATGAAATGCAAGTAAGACAAACAGAGAGGTGAAGAAGTGTTCCTGATTATGCAGTTTCTCCATCTATCATGGCATCCATCTAGTTTGTTTTTTTTGTTTTTTTATTTGGCGATATTAGTTCTAATCGCCGAATCTCTTGGCGATTCACTGAGTGAGAACTCAACTCGTTGAGTTTTATAGAATCTTCAGTCACTGTGAAGATCCAAACAGTGTGGTTTTCATAGAGATCACCGAAATGTTTGGCGAATCGTAAATAATCTCCAAATCTCGCCTAGTGTAGTAGACTTCAGTGTTTACGATGTTCTGAGTCAATCGGAGGATAAGGTCGAATTTGACGACCCCTTCGGTGACTCGCCGACAGGATCTATTATTTGCCATCCTTCATTCATTTTAGTACTTTTACCTGCACAAAGGACATACAATTTTATTACCGGGAAATAAGTACTGACAATAATAAAAACAAAGCAATTAAAGGGATTTTTGGGTTTCCTCCCAAACAGCGCCTTAGTTAATGTCGCGGCACGATGCAGCAACACTTGGAGGTGTCTTCCAAATATACCACTTCAGCCAACAAAATCTCTTGACAATCTCCAAGATACAATTTCATACGTTGATCGTTCACTGCAAATGGAGGTCCTTCCTAATCTTCAACTTTTATGGCACCATTGACGAACACTCGCGTTACTCTAAACGGTCCAGACCATTTGGATTTGAACTTCTCGGGGAGGAGTCTAAGCCTCGAGTTGTATAGCAGAACCCAATCTCCTACCTTGAAGTCTCGCTTGAGTATCTGAGCATCATGCCATTTCTTCATCTTCTCTTTATAGATGGCTGAACTTTAATATGATCTGAGTCTAAATTCAACCAGTTCATTCAGCTATTCTATTCTTACCGTTGAAGTTTTTTACCAGTCTAAATTTAAAGCTTTCAATACCCACAATGATTTATGACATTTCTTCATCTTCTCTTTATAGATGGCAAACTTTCATATCACTTCTATTGACATTTACTGTCGTTGCCAAGATGCTTTTGATTTCCCTATTTGACACTTCGACTTTGCCATTTGTTTGAGGATGATATGGGGTTGCCACTTTGTGTTTCACCCCATATTTACTCAGTGCCATTGAGTACAACTTATTGCAGAAGTGGGATCCCCCATAGTTTATGATTGCTGACGAAGTGCCAAATCTGGCGAAGATCTAGCGTTTCAGGAATTCGACAATCCTTTTTCCTTTATTGTTTGGAAGTGCGATGGCTTCCACCCATTTGGAGACATAATCTATAACCACTAAAATATATTTATTTCCAAACGAGCTCACAAATGGTCCCATGAAATCTATTCCCCATACATCGAACAACTCAAGCTCTAAAATAGGAGTGAGAGGTAATTCGTGTCTTCTAGACACTCTGCCTTGTTGCCGACATTTAGGGCATTTCTTTGCAAACTCATGTGCATCCTTGTAGATTGATGGCCTGTAATATCCACTCTGGAGAACTTTAGCGGCGGTGCGAACACCACCTTGGTAACTTCCCACTGAGATGTATGGCAAGTATGGAGAATTTCTACCACTTTTTCTTCCAGAACGCACCTTCTGATGACATGGTCAGCACACTCTCGGAACAAGTATGGCTCGTCCCAAAAGTATCCTTTAACATAGAACATGAATCTTTTATGTTGGTAAAAGGTCAACCAATCCGGCGTAAGCCCACACACAATGTAATTTGCAAAATCTGCAAACTATGGTGTATGTTTGACGGATATTGCTAACACCCATTCATCTGGGAAAGAGTCATCTATGTGACCTCATGCTTGACATTCTCCCTTGCTTCCAGTAATGATAAATGGTCAGCCACTTGATTTTTGTATCATTTTCGATCTTTCACCTCGAAATCAAATTATTGTAATATTACTACCGACCTAATCAATCATGGTTTTGCATCTTTCTTTGCCATCAAATAATAGAGTGCAACATGATCAATGTGTACGATTACTTTGGTGCTAAGCAAGTATGCCCTGAATTTCTCAAATGCATAGACTACTGCAAGCAACTCTTGTTCGGTGACCATATAATTTTGCTGAGCACTATTTAGAGTCTTGCTTGCGTAGTAGATTGGGTGAAGTAGTTTGTTGCGCTTTTGCCCTAACACAATCCCCAGTCCCATACCGCTGGCATCACACATTAATTCAAAAGATTCGGACCAATTAGGGTAGATGATGATCGGAGTGGATAGTAGTTTCTCTTTCAAACACTGAAATGCAGTCGTACAAGCATGATTAAAGTGGAATTTCACTTCCTTCTCTAAGAGTTTGCATAATGGGAGTGCAATCTTTGAGAAATCTTTAAGGAACTTTCTGTAAAATCCTGTGTGCCCTAAGAAACTACGAACACCCTTTACTGAAATCGGCGGGGGTAATTTCTCAATGACCTCAATTTTTGCATTGTCAACTTCCATCCCCTTTTGTGACACCTTATGCCCAAGAATAATACCTTTTTTTTTACCATAAAGTGACATTTCTCCCAATTCAGAACAAGATTCGTTTCTATACATCTTTGGAGTACCTATCCTAACTGAGTCAAGCATTCTTCGAACGTATCCCCTATGGCTAAGAAGTCGTCCATGAACGCCTCCATAGAGTCTTTGACAATATCTGCAAAACAAGATAGCATGCAACGCTAAAGTGTTGTTGGGGCATTACATAGCCCCAATGGAATTCTTTTCAATGTGAAAGTTCCATGGAGATTTGGTTGTAGCCGGAGTACCCATCCAAAAAATAGTACCACCCTTTTTTTAATAACCGGTCAAGCATTTGATCCATAAAAGGCATCGGAAAATGGTCTTTCTCGGTCCATGAGTTAATCTTTCTGTAGTCCATGTATACTCTCCACCCAGTCAGTGGTCTTGTTAGCACAAGTTCTCCTTTTGTATTCGGGACTACGGCTATGCCTCCCTTTTTGGGTACACATTGCACCGGACTTACCCACTTACTATCTGCAATAAGGTATATCACCCTGCATCTAGCCACTTGATGATTTCCTTCTTGACCACCTCTTTCATTGGAGGGTTCAATCTCCGTTGATGTTCTACACTAGGTTTGCATTCATTGTCAAGCCAAATTTTGTGAGTACAGATGCCAGGAGGAATTCCTACTATATTGGCTATTGTCCATCTAGTAGCTTTTATATGCTTCCACAGTACTTCAATGGGAAATTTCACCTGCCTTTCAAGCAGATTGGCGGCGATAATTACCGGTAGAGTATTATTCGCTCCTAAGAAAGCATATTTGAGATGACAGGGTAGGGCTTTTAACTCCAAATTCGGTGGTTCTTGTGTTGATGGTTTAGCAGGGGGACTTTCTCCATTTTTCTGATCGATATCCAATTTCATTGGATTCCTTGAATATGCTCCTAATCCTGATAAAGCAACTACCACTTCCTCGTAACCAAGAACTTCAGAGTCATCATAATTAGCAAGCACAAATTCAAGGGGCTCATTTTTGCGCATTAAATGACTCACACTTGCCACTGCCTTATCTATCAGTTCCATAGTGGACACCACATGGATGTTACTTGGTTGCTTCATGGACTTACATATATTGAAGGTCACCTCATTAGCATTCACACGGAACTTCAATTTCCCACTTTCAACATCCACCAATGCTCTTCTGGTAGCTAAGAATGGCCTTCCCAAAATAATGAGAATTTCAGCATCGATCTCACAGTCTAGAATCACAAAATCAGCCAAAAAGATGAACTGATCCACTTTTACCAATATGTAATAGAGTATTCCGACTGGGTGCTTGATTGATCGATCAGCCATGAGGAGTCTCATTGTGGTTGCCTTTGGGTCACCCAAACCAAGTTGCTTATATATTGCATAGGGCATCAAGTTGATACTCGCTCCTAAATCGCACAAGGCTTTAGCAAATTAGAGCATGCCAATCGTTCACGGGATTGTGAATGCTCCAGGATCCTCTCTCTTAGTGATTAAATCATTTGTCATAATTGCACTGCAACTATGGGGCACCTCAATCGTTTCATATTCCAAGTTCCTTTTCTTTGTAACCAGTTCTTTCATAAATTTGGCGTATCTCGACATTTCCATCAATGCTTCCACTAGAGGAGGCTAATCGATAAGCTCTTAATACTCACAAAAATTTCTTGAACTTCTCATCTTCATTCTTGTTTTTCAAATATTGGTAAATGGTGGAGGTATATTAGGTAAAGGGTGTATGACTTTTGGAACTTGAACTTGTTTCTCTGCTTCCTCCTGTGGTTCTTTAGTGCGGTTTTGTCGAATAGGAAAATCATGTTCCTCTGCACCTTGGCCTTCATCATGTTTTTGAGGATCCTTATTTTCCATCACACTCCCTATTGCCACTTTACCGCTACGGGTAACCACAACCATCTCTCTTTCATTATAGTCCATCGGTCTCTTGGACATTAATTGAGCTGATAACAGTCTCAATTTACCTTCCAGCATTTTTATGGTATCAGCACGAGAATTCACTTCATTGTTCAACAATTAAAAGTCATCTTTCATCCCTTTTAGCAAATCATCAGAGCCCTCGACTTTATTGAGTATGCGCGATAAAAAATTGTTTACCCTAGGACTACTTGCATTCCCTTTAGATTTTGGGCTTTTACTCAAATGAGTATGGCCTTCCTCTTGATCATCCCGCTCAATCCCGCCTTGCCAATATCTCCTTGGTTCTTCACCACTATAATAATTCCAACCTTGATTTCCACCCCGCGGTTGATAGCGTGGGTGGAAACCCTCCTCGTATCTTCTGGAGTTCCAACCTTGATTCTTTCCCAGTCTTGAGTAACCAGAAGAAGAACCCTCCTCAACTTGAAATACTCCATCTGTCCCGTTCATATGTTCTTGGTAGAATTTTCATTTGAGATAACATCTTCTTGATGTTTTCATCCCTCTCCCTTTCTTTTTCGATCTGCTCTTACGTTAACCGGAAACATAATGGGAGACTGGATCATCTTTGGTATACCATGGATTCTTAAGATAGGTTCTTGAATGATAAAGGGGTTCACACTTCCACAAAGCTTCGTACATGCTCATGTGGGTCTTCATGTTCTAACCCTCTGAACAAACCTCTAGTCTGTATGAGTTGGAGTGTTGCGCTGGTAACTTCGAACATAACTTTTCCTTTAACTTGTGGTATGCAAATTTCACCCATCGCACCCACGTTAGCAGAGTTATAAACAATATTGACTTCATCGATGTCGTCTCAATGAAAAACACCACCCCTTGAGTGGCCTGCTTGGAAACTATTCTCACTGTTTGCACTCATATTTTCTGACATATTTACACAATCAACAGAACAAAACTAAAAATTAAATTAGTAAACTACAACTAAGAAGAACAAAAATTCTACTAATCTAAAAATTCTCAAATAACACTAATTCCACGGCAACGGTGCCATTTTAATGCTTATCGCGACCAATGACACTAACCTACGGTATGAGTGTCTACGATTGTCGATAATATAATAACCTAACAAAATGTTCGGGTCGTGTCCCAAGGGAGTGGTTTTGAGAATTAATAGAAAAATAAAGTTTAGCTCTAATTAGTCTTAGCTAAAGACATTAATGAGTAAAATCATAGTAAATTAAAGGGGATGACACGAAAGTGTCAAATATAATTGAGGGTTTTGTCACAAGTAGTAAAAACAACAAAAATAACAAGAAAATCAAGTTTGGGGAAGAGTTCTTTTGGTGTGACCGCAATACAAGATGAGATAAATCATAGGGTACATGCTTTCGATAGGAATTTTGCAAGATAATAGTGACTAGGCTAAGCTTTAAATGGAAATAAGTTCCCTCTCGGGCAACTTACCCTGTTTCAAATGAGTTCCTCTCGGACACCCATCTACCGCACGAAGACCAACCTACGTTTTACCCGACTCACTTTCTCGAGCTAAGGGTTAGGATATGGGACTAGGGCTTATCCTCTTGAGCTGAACCTCATGTCGACCCACTCTTTAGGCCATCAGTCTAGTGGCTTTGGTTTCGCGACCTCCTTCTCGGGCAAGCCAAAAACACATGGGTGTCTTTGTATTTGAAACTACAAACCCTTTAGGTTAAACCACAACCACTAGTTGAAATCACCATCAAACTACATCTAACCTATCAGCAAGCAAGACCTAACAATAATATCAACACATATTTGCTAAATCACACCCCAAGAATGGGGGTTTTTAGCCACACATCAAGAAATAACAAAATACACCTAAAATGACACTAAAATCAAATGGGTATAAGAAATTAAACCTGGATTTAAGCAAAGGAAGGAGAATGGAAAAGATCCACTTCCAACTTGGGGAAGATGAAATCCTTCTTTCTTCAAGTCTCCCAACAACCTCCTCCAAACTTGAGAGAAAATATTCAAAAAAGTACTATTCTATTCTGAAAATACTAATAATAATTGTTCTGAACTTATAAAATAACAAGTTCAGTATTTATAGACTTCAGAAAATAGCGTTGGCGGATCTTTCAGCGAAGTTAGTCGATATCGCCGAATGACTCGGTGACTCGCCCTTCCTGTGTTTCATCACCGTTTTATGCATGCCTTTAGCATCTTCACATTCTGGACCATTGAGCGGTATAGTACAACTTTGTGGAACTATTCAGCGAAGTGCCGACTGCTCCTTTCATCGCCTTTTTGATCCACTTCCTTTAGGGCTTCACATACTGGAACAAAGGGTGGAGTCTGTCCTTTCGACAAATCGCCAAAGGTTATTGGCGATGCTCATGCTTCAGCTTTTTCATTCTTTTCTGCCTTTTTGTTTCTTTTTGTGCCTAAGTGTCCATGTTTCTGCTAAGACTTCAAATACCTGAAACTTAAGAGTTTTCATCAGATATTAAGGTGAAATAAGCATTCGAGGACACTATTTCTATCAAAATAAAGCCCTAAATGAGTCCAATTTGTAGACTCATCCATGACATAATGGTTTTGCTGATAAAGCCAAACCAGAACCGGGCAGCAATACTCATGTCTCTCTTCTCAATTCACCTCGGGTTGGTAAAGTAAATCAGAGGTGCTAGCCATCCCTTTAACTCATCCAGTGACTGAGTGATAGGCAATTCCTGGTAGGGACATGAACAATGCAGAGCTCTATCTAAAGCAGTGTTAATGTACTCACTGCTACACCCAACTTCCTTACCCCGGACCATGACCGACTGAACCGATCTAAACTCCCTTGCCTAGTTCTTGATCTTTGGAACTAAGTCACTGTATAATGTGTAGAATTCCCAGAACTATGAAGGAATATAAAGGCCTCGGGGCCTTGTGAACTGCTCAAATATATGAAAGTGGGGGTGTCCCTCACATCGGAGTACTTTCCCTCAAGGGCTCCTGTCGATAGTAACTTCTCCTCGAGGATGGTTTGCAAATAATCACTTTTCAACTTGTTGAGAAGCCTAGGGGGAAGGATGACTAGTGGCATAGGAGCCACAAGAGGTGCCTGAGCTGGCACTGAATCTACTAATGTGGGAGATGGATGGACCCTAGCGGAGTCAGGGCGAGATCTATCTCAGATCTCAGCCCTTCGGGTCTGTAACGGTTGGTCATCCTCAGGCTCAGATAGATCAGCCGGGAGCCAGTAGTCACCCTATCAGATGTGGGCCTCTTACCCTTGCTTTTGACGCCCGGTGAAAGCTCTTATCTTCCCTTCTTTGGAGGATTTGATACCCCTTCATTGATTGTGATACCATGTACACTTTTCTAGGGTGGCATGTTGATGTTTGTCCTCACCATATCTGCCAAGCATCAAGAAAAAGTTAAATACAATCCAAGCAAAATCACATAAAAATAATTGCAGACAGACTCACTGAAGAGCTCAGCGAGTCGCCGAATCGCTTTGGCGAGCTAGATCAGGCTCGCCGAAAGGATTGGCTCAAAATTTCCATAAATAATTGGCATGTCGGTGATGGGAAGGCATTTCGGTGAATCGCTGACAACATTCGGTGAGCAAGGATTAGCCCGCCAAAAGTTGCAGTGCAATTTAAGTGTAACAACTCGCAAAATTATAGGTTGAACTAGAGGCTCATTGTGTGGGTTAATGTGACCATAAGTTGATGTCTAGGCTGTTTTAGAACTTAATTGAGCAAGGAAGAAGTCTAGGGTGCAATAAAGGACCTATGATAGCAAGATTGAGTGAAAGAAACCTTGTTCTTTGAGGGGCTATTTGGTGATGGGAGTACTTGATTGCCCAAAGGGTTGGGGGAGTCTTCCTTTGGCATTTGTGATCGCCTAGTGGGCTGTCCCATTAGCCTAGGGTCTGGACCAAAGGGTGAGCTAAGTCCAAGCTCGCCAACCAGCTTAGCGTGTCACCCATTGATGCTTATCATGACCAACGACACTAACCTATGGTATTAGTGTCTACGGTCGTCGATAATATAGTAACCCAACTAAAGGTTGGGGTCGTGTCCCAAGGGAGTTGTTTTGAGAATTACTAGAAAATACAGTTTAGCTATAATTAGTCGCAACTAAAGACATTAATGAGTACAAACATAGTAAATTAAAGGAGGTGACACGAAAGTGTCAAATATCAATTGGGGTTTTGTCACAAGTAGTAAAAACAACAAAAATAACAAGAAAATCAAGTATGGGGAAGAGTTCTTGGGGTGTGACCGCAATACAAGTTGAGATAAATCATTAGGTACATGCATAACTCAGTAATTAATACCGGGAAAATGAGAGATGTCTGGCTGTGCTTTGCACGCATATGGATCTCAGAGTCAATGATCATCCAAAGATTTATCCTGGTTTTCTCCATGATTCATCCAAGGCTAGCTGCATTAGCATGACGAAGG